TAGAGGAGCACATTTGAGGATAGGCGCTATGCGAGTTTATTATTACTATGGCCTTTGAGACTAGGATATCCTGCGTATGATTCAGTAAAAGATAGGTCTTTAGCAAANCGGAAGTTGCTACAATACTCTTCTGAATAAATGCTATCGAGAAAAAAAGCAAGAAAAACTTTAGAATGAGGAGGACATTTGAGGATAGGCGCTATGCGAGTTTATTATTACTATGGCCTTTGAGACTAGGATATCCTGCGTATGATTCAGTAAAAGATAGGCCTTTAGCAAACGTGACTATTCGGAAATCTTTTGAAATTTAGAATGAATTTAGCTAACAGACAGTAAGTAACAAAAACTATCTCAACTTGTTATCTTTGGGGATAGTTGATATTGGAGTACGAGTTCAAAGAAACTCGAAATTACTGCTACTCCTTCCTAATTAACCTTAGTCTGGGGTAGAGCATTATTATCGAGAACGAAAATAATCAACAAGGTCTAAAAATAGTATAGTGCTAGCAAAACATAAAGTTGTATACAAAATGCCATGTAAGGGAATGTAAATATACGAATAATAAAAAAAAAACAAGAAAAAATAAGCTTCGAAATGAAGGATCTTGATATGGAACTCATAGGTAAGCAAATGATTAAATAGATAAATTTAAAAAATCAGTAGGCAAAAATGTATAAAATAAAAATAAAATAAAGCAAAATTTAGCAGAATATTTTCCCGCAGCCGCCATATAGAAATACACATGAAACATATTCATAAGTATAAATGCAATATGTATATGTACGCAATAATAGAATATAATATAACATATGATATATATAAATAATACGTAATACAAAAAAATACTTTACGGCTTTCAATCAGAATTCGTACAAAAGCTCCACTCTTCAAAAATAACATTCAGACACCGATCTTCCTTGTCGCTTCACACGATGATTACTGGTAATCCATGATTTGAATACATCATTGTACTGTTGGCGAATCTTACAGGAACGGTGAACTATAGTCTTCGTGCATATAAGACCTATGTCCGTTCGCTCGTAAAAGCGGTACCATTGGTTTCTGCCCTAATAAAAAGAAGAACATTATGTTGCTAGAAAGGGTTCAGTACAATTTCACTCGGAAAAATTTAATTCGCCGGAGTGGTTTTCTGTATTCAAAAATTCCTAAGGCCGCAATTAGGAACAAATATTTCAATATTCCTTCACTAGAGTCTAGGCGCAAGCTTTTTGACTTGTGCATGATACATAACTGGCTGACAGGCAAACCGCGGTTAATTTTTCGGATCTGACTCATTGATTCCTTCCAAAACAAGGGGTAGTCAGCTCAAATTATCCTTCTCTAGGCCCAAAACAACCACAAGAGGAAACTTTTTCACCGTAAGGACTGGTCTTGCATA